ACCAGCCTGGGCTCTTTCACCCTGTGCTTTGCCAGGCCCTCAAGCCTCCTCTAGCACACAAACAAAGTAGGGACACGCCCATCTGCAGAAAGACACAGACATTGAAATCAGCTCTGCATGGGAAGAATCAACTAGGGGATTGCCCAGCACTCAAGTGCACTCCCCCTCTGGGGTGCAAACCCAAAATTGTATTGTCTTGCACTGCACAGAAAACTGTACACTGTAAGCTCATGAAATTTGCCTCCAGTTATTTCACAAACTGGTTTAGAGAGAACAAAAAAAAATTATTAACTACAAAGGAAAGATTCTCAGTGATTATAGGGGATAGCAAACAGATCAAAGCAGATTATCTTAGTAAATAAAACCCGCAAACTGAGCTTAACACACTAGATAGGTAGGTTATAAATTAGCAAATTCTCACCCTAAGTGCTAAACAGGCTGGCAGATTCTTAAGGTACAAATTGCCTTGGGTTTCCCAGGTTTTCATACATAGGCTAAAGATCCTTCTAGTCTGGGACCATCACTTCCCACAGTTCAGTCCTCACTCCTCAGATGTTTCCAGGTGTGTTGTTGCAAAGAGAGTGAGGTACCCTCATGAAGTCATTGTCCTCCTTTTATATCTTCTTCACACTTGCTGGAAAGCTCTTTTGCTGTGACCTGGGTCAAACAGTTCCCATTGTTTAGTGCTATCTCTGAGCGGTCTCTATTGTACACAGTTCCTGAGGTAATCCTTGTGCTTGTGTGCATTTCCTCAATAAGCCATTAACATTGTATGGCCTTTTTAACTGTTGTACCTGACCGTCTTCTTGTGGGTGTTTTCAACCTCACAACATGTTTCAGTAACACATACGTAGCCAAACTTCATAACTTCACATACAACAATAAACACATACAATCCAACGATGTATTAATGTATACCAGATCAAGACTTCTAGAATGATACCTCACAAGCTATACTTTCTATAAAACATACACTAATTACATGGCAGTGGTGAATACTGGGTGTCACACTATCCAAATTAACTAGCTCTGTATTAGCACTATATCATAGTGGCTACAGGAGTAAGCAACAACCAGCACTCCAATAAGAGAAAATGAGAAGTGAAATTAAAAGAGTGAATCAGAGTAATTTAATATCCAAACTCCTTTCCTTAGGCAGGTGACAAGAAAAGATCAGACAAGACATTTAAAATCATGTATATGAATATTTCGGTGACAAACAATATGAAGGGACAGAATGAATGAGTTAAAGTAAAGTAAAGCCAACTGTAAAAACTGTAAATAGAACTCAAATACACCATGATGTGTTAAGGAATTAACAAGGCTATTAAAAAAAGAGAGAGAGACAACATGGTCTATTAAATGTTTCTTGTTTCCATGGAATAAAAAGGAAGACTGATTTATAGAGAGTAAAAGAGAAATTCAATTTTATTTTTGAGATTCATATTTAGGGTTTCTTAACTGCCATTTAATTGTTAAACAGGATTTTTAGGGGGGATTTAATACTCTTTCCTGTCATTTCAGAGCCCTTGGTCTGTGCCACTGTGCCTTTGGAGTCTCTGTTTAAATCCTGTACTTGTGATGATAATTGCTCAATGTGTGTTTATCAGCAAAGTGATAAATCTACCAAAATGTAAATAATCACTTCAGAAAACTACAAGAGACCAGAGAAATAAAACTGTATGAAACACTCAAGGATTAGTACTGCATATAAAATTAATGCACAATGACTAAAGTGATGATATACTCTGAATCAGTGTTGCCAGTATCATATTTCCAACCTGATTTTGCATTTCCCTCTCATAAGAGCAAGCTTCGGTGTTAGCAATAGCTATGCAAGACTTCCATGATACAAGACTTTCACAATGTGATCTGATTAAGTTTAAGAGTGGCCTATTGAAATTCTATTACTAATTATTATTACTAGGAACTGTAAAATCATCATTTCACTGTAACATAGTCTATCAGCTCAGGTATATAAATAGCATAGATTTTCCCCACTTGCAACCATACCATACAGTAGGGCCTCTTTCCCATATATGGATAAAAAGAGACACCTCATTAACCATGTGATCCATTTTGACTAGCTTTGTTGCCTGCTATTGTCATGATGTCAATGCTTCAGTCAGCCCACTATCACTCCTTGCACCCTATTCTGTCACTTGCAGATTCATGAGGTAATAATGGTTGACAGAACCTTCATTCAGCAAGTAAGTTGGAGGATGTCTGCTTTAAAAATTCATTGGTAATTTTTATGCAATATATAGAGTCAAAACACCATAAAACTATGCCGTTCCTCCAGTGAAGGACAGCTGATGCTTATTCCACATAATGTTAGCCAAATTTAACAAAGTAAAATATCAGCTCTAAAACTAGTACAGCCAATGTCAAAATATACTATAAAAATGTTGGACACATATTTTATTCTTGACAGCAAGAGTCACTCCTGATTCAGCCAATTGCTCACCTATTATTTTAAGGTCATAATTCCCTCTTCTTTTCCCCTCTTCCCAATCATATCCATATTATATAGTAACAGTCTAAATTTTTCCAAGTTATACATGCTTTCTCTGACATCACAACTAAAATAAATCGCAGTTAACTTTTTCGATATCCTACTTAATTAAGCTTAAAATTAACTTACTGCATTCATACTCATTATTGATCAGTTTAGAATGTTAATGTAAAAAGACTTTAAGAAATATAGTTTCACAGCTAAACAGTTATTCTCTCTGTATAATTAATAGAAAAATGGGTCAGCAGATTGTTGACATTCTTTTACTAAATCTCTCCCCTGAGATTACATTACAATCCTCTTTTTTTGCTTTATATTTTAAGTATTTAAGTTCTTTGGTTCAAAACTATTTGAATCCTTTGTTCCTTTTGTGCACCTTTGTCTATAATATAGCATACATTAAATCATGACATCAACTGGACGAGTTAAATGTATGGTAGTAACATTACTCACCTCCACCTCAACCTGCTGTTCTCATTTGTTATGACATCTTCAACAATGAACCTCACTTAGGACAATGATATTAGACTGCAGGCAATTGAACAGATCCAGATAGTTTTGTAAAGTTGAAGTCAGGGCTGAAAGTTTCATTGCCCCGTTTTATTGTTTTTACCATTAGTTTCCCGCAGTCACGTTGCTGTTCAATTAGCATTAGAAATAAAACTTAAGATTTTAGCAACTTTAAAATTGAGTATTAGTAAGACTCATTAGCTCTTCATACATTCCACCAGCTGATCTCTCAGAGGTGGCGAGTTCATTCTTGAAGTGTTTGTTTGTTTTAATTGTTTCCTTTTTTTGCTTATACATGTTGCTCTACTTAGGCTGTAATTTTTAAAACTAGAAAATATATCATATTTCTAGCCATAATTATTTAGAAAACAGAAACTGTTTTTGTGTGTCAGTCATTGAAAGGTGGATTTCACATAGAACACCTTACCTTCCTTAAATCACCAGCTGAAGAAGAAACCGAAAAGATTTTAAAGTGTTTTTTTTCTTGTAAACTACTGATAGCCACCAATCAATATTTTGGACTGTCTTTAGAAAAAAAATATTTCTAGCCCCTATAATCTGAGATCCAATGTATTTTTAAATACCTGTAAAGACAAAGGATTCTTAAAATAGAGGAACTGACATTGATTTCCTATTGTTATAAAGTAGTATCTTCATTCAGAGCATTTTACAACTATACATAATAGGTATGGTTATGTGAAGAGCAAACTTTAGTAGTAGCAAAACTGATTGTTAGTGATATGTCATTGTTCAACTGACTAGGATGACAAATACATTCAATATGTGCAAATTGTACAGTCTATATGGGTGATGACCCTTGAAATTAAGAATATTAATATACTAAGATGATACATGATGCTGTCTAATAAACTCATATCAAGGCTGTGGAAGTGGTAAACAAGCTAAAAGATCAAATTAAACTTTTTTTTTAAATAACCATCCTTAAAACATACCAAAGATTACACAGTGGAAACACAGCAGTGTTGTGCAAAACAAGTGATTATGGAATTTAAGAGCAGTTAGTGATTAAAAATATTGCATTATAACAAACTCTCAATATATGTAATTTAATGAAAGTCTTATTGAGATTTATGAGCAATATATAAACCTAATGAGCTGAATTATATTAAGAAAAAACAGGTTATAACAACTGCTACTAATAATAACTGATGACTGAAGGACTGTAAATTTGAAATATTTAAGTGCATATTATGACATCAAACACACAGCCTGATTCTCTGTATACATTATCTATAGTTGTACCAGGCCATATTAACAACATTCAGTAGAAAGGAGAAGACTGACAGTCTCTTCTTTAAGTTTCTAGTAGAAAAAGGAAAAGCAGTTCCTAGCAGGAGAAGCGCAAATGGCAGTTAACTTGATTGGATGATGAGCAATTTTAATAGACACACTGCTGTATTTCCCTCTAGGAGGCATTACTGATTGCATGCTGGCTAGATGGAAGTTCTGATAATGTCTGCACTTTTTGTTTGCCCCTAGTGAATATTACAGACTTTGGGGGCCAAGTTTAGCCCAGATATAGCCACTGGACTGTGCCTGTCTACACCAGAGTGTGCATCTGGTCCCAGATTTTCATCATTGCATTCTGTAACTATCCATGCAAGTGTTCTTCTGAGAAACTTAAATCCGTAGATTAATTTACCTTCTACAACATCCTCGCTTAAGTTTTCTTGTATGATACATGCTTTCCTTTTCTCCACATTATATTTACCATTGGGATATCAAAGACGTCTTCAAGCTATTAAATATCGTTTGGCATTCAAGCAATCCTCAAGTTAAAAATGACACATGAGCATCATTAAGTGCAAACTAGCTTTTTATAGCAGCCACGGATCAAGTTAAATGATGCTTTTAAATCTTAATGGTTGGTTACTTAGCAAACAAAACTATATCCCCCCCCCCACCGCGCGCGCACACACACACACACACACATACATATACACATCTCACTCACCTGCTGCTCTCCTGGCTCTGGGGATTTCACCAGGTGTTTATCCTTGTACAAAGACCACAGACCAATATTAGGCAGGAAAATTAAAGCCACCATGAACAACAACGTCATTTGCAAAAATCTCTTCTGTTTTCTCTTCATGGCAAATGGCAGCATATATAGAAGAAGATGAGCTATTCCTTGCTCCCAGGGCCAATTTCCTTTCCCCTCAGTCTCTCCGCGTCACCCCCAAACTGGGAGTCGGTTAGAATAAACTTTTGTTACAAGCCTCGAGTCACCACCAATCCTCACAGTTCACAGGGGGAGTTTGTAACCTGCGGAACAAACGGAAACACAGATTCACTTAATTCCCCCACAAATGCGACTGAAATCATCGCCCATCGACTGAGGCTTTCCCGGGGAAACTGTGAAGCACATGATCGATCCACGTTAATATAAAACAGAGTAAATATGCTCGGGTACTAGACTGATCAGAAGTTATTGAGAAATTGATACGACAACAAATGGTTTGTGGGAAATTGGGTGGGAGCTGGGGGCCACGCGCGGTTAAAGCACGCAATTCCGCAACCCGCTGATCAGAGTGGGACTGCCAGGGAACAATTTGCAAGCTCTTCCTTTGCGAGATGAAATGCTACCTCTGCCTCTAGCAGGAAGAGACCATCTCCCCCATCAGAACAGCTGCTTCCCACCACGGAAGAAATCCGGAGCTACAAGGTGCAGCTCCAGCTGGGACCGAAGGAGGGAACAGGAACTCCAGTTTGAAAGGCGAGCTCTAAACTCCTTGATCCAAACACACACACCTCCAGAGACAGCCTCGGTTTCCCCTCCTCTCCCTCAAGTCTCAACTACATCAAGTGCACTTCGTGACAGAGGGAAAGAGCTCCCTTAAAGGATACAGCTGACATCATTACCAGCAAAATACCAACTAGTCTGACATACCCTCCTCCCTTCTAGGCACTGTTATCGTATCGCAAAGTGCATTCACCACCGCTCGGTTCCTCTCCCTCCCGGACAATATTTTCACACTCTGATGCTGTTCGTGTTACCATTCTTCTCCTGGGACTGATCAAGCAGAGACGAAAGGAAAACACCATGAGCTCACCAATTTATTACATACAAAATGCGCAAAGATACAAAGCTCTAAGTGTGCAGGAGGGACTGGCAAGGGGGTAATCAAGGGGGATGAACAGCTCCCTCCCAGTCACCACCTCCTCCTCTAGCTCTGTCTATCTCTCTGATGGCTTTCAGCTGAGATGTTAGCTGGTGTACAACATGTGCACGGGATCTAATCGGGGGGAGGGGGAAATCTCTCCCAGCTCCAGTTTAAACAAAGCTGGAGGAGGCGCAGGGTAAAACCATGGATCTCTGCGCTCCCGGACTCGACCCACATCGCCCTCACCTCAACCCAACGGTTCCGGGCCACAAAGAAGGAGCTAAAGGCCAGAAGTAGCGGTTGTTTCCTGGGCTCTTTCTCGTCGCCTCCTTCATGATGAGTTCCCGGGGAGCAGCAGCTGCGAGCTGGCTTCGCCGGCGAGGAGACCAGGAGGAGGGTGGGAGGAGGCGGGGGGGATAAGAAGGCTACTTGGCACAGAAAGCGGCTCTGCCCGTTCCCGACGTCGTATTAGTAGGAGCAATTCCAGAGCCGGCCGAGGCAGGAAAAGCATCCGGCTCCCAATCTGCTCCGTCCGGCTCCGCTCCTGGCCACAGAAGCCGGGGGCGGCTGGTGCTTCTTGTCTCCCCGTGCTGGAGGCAGCGGCGGGCCCGGCCGGGCGGGTCCCGTGCAGCCCCTGGATGCTGGCGAGGCTGTTCTGTAAGGAGACTCGCGGAGCTTCCCCGCGCAGCAGCCCGAGCGTTCGCGTGGCGTTAGCTGCGGAGCCGCGCCGCCTAGGAGCCAGGGAGAATCCACCCCTCTGCGCCCCACCGGCCTCCAGGGGGCCGACATGCTGGGCTGGGGCGGCAGCCCAAGTCCCGCGGGCTACACTGCGCCCCGCATGCCCGCAGCGGGGTTGGCGGAGGGCCCCGCTGGCTCGGCCAATGCCAAAGGGGCACCGGGGAGAAGCCGAGAGGCTGTCTCGAGGGTGGCATCACAGCCTTGGGCTCTCAGGCGCCGTCCAGTAATAAAGGGGCCCGATCCATCCCTGGGGTGAGCGCAGGCACCCTGCGGGGGCCGGGCCCTAAAGCGTGGACTTTAATTTCAGTCCCCTTCTGCACCTCCCCGGAATGACCTGCGCTCGTGGTGTCAGTCACCTTCCCAGAGTATCCTCTGCCTAGCCCACCCCCGCTCGTTAGCCTGATGCCTCCCCCCCCCCGAATCGGGGGAGACCCTGCTCCGAAAGCACATTGTCCTTGGTGTATATTTATGCCAGCCACCCAAAACGTGAGCAAACCTGCTTTGCCTACGTTGTAAGCTTTTGAAATACCACAAACCTCTAATCTGAGTCAAACATTCTCGGGTTCAAGCTCTGTTTAGGAAGGAATGTGGGTAGAGACTTTTTAAATATGGCTCTGTGCATAGGGCATACAGTGTGCCAGTCTGCCCTTGGTAGGTTGATTGTTAGAAATTCCTCCCCCTAGGTGAGGAGGGTGAGTCTTTAAATTTAAATTACATGAAAAGAGGTGCCAGCTCTCTTCCCCCCTAAAGGACGTTCATAATCTCAAGGACAATGAGTTATACCAGATTGTGCATAGGGTGAATGTTGGATTACAAGGTATGCTTGACAGGCACACAATCTGTATATTTCTGTGTAAAGAGCACTAGCTCAGTCATGTATTAAAAAGGTCACCAAGTCGTTGTTGCTCATTATTTCTATTAGCCACTGAAATATTGACAGGGTTCTCTGGAGTCTGTGGAGCACTGGAGCTATCCTGCAGCAAAACCCAATGCATACATCTGAAAATTGTGAGGTGGTATGAAATGCGTGGCAGTACATTTGTGACTAGTTGTTCTGTGCATTTCAACTTGAAGAATTTCAGTGGGTGGAGCGACACAGAAATCCAGGAGCATTACACAGAAGTAGGGAATATACAGTTGGAAGGGGTCCAAGTTGTGCTTACTTGACAAAGTGGGGTTCAAGGCTCTTAAGTATAAGAGTAGTGAGGAAATTATTCTTTTGCTTCCCTCTCCCATATCCTCTAGCTTCTGGAGAAGAAATCCCCTAGTGTCATTCCTGGAAGATGATATGTCACTTACTGCTATAGAATTGCCCCTGCAGAAATAGGCTAGATGGGACCACTGTGATCATTTAGTCTGACCTGCTGTATAAAATATACTATCAAATCTCTCCAAACTAGAGCCTATCTTTCGGGGAGAAAAAACATCCAATCTTGATTTAAAAGTTGCTAGTGATGGAGAAATCACTAAAGCCCCGTTCATAAATTGTTCCAATAGAGTTAATAACCCTCACTGTTAAAATTGTACACCTCAATTTATCTAGCTTCAACTTCCACCCACTGGCTCACGTCATACCTTCCTCTGCTAGATTCAAGAGTTCATTATGAAATATTTGTTCCTCTGGAGGTACTTACATACTGTAATCAAGTCATCCTTTACTGGTCTCTTTGTTAAGCTAAATAGAGTGAGCTCCTTGTGTGTCACTATAAGACATGTTTTCTATCCTGTAATCTTTCTTAGAAGTCTTCTCTCAACCCTAATTGTGGACACCAGAACTGGACAGAGTATTCCAGCAGTGGTCACACAAGTGACATATAGAGGGGTTAGAATAACTTCTCTACTCCTACTTGAGAGTCCCCTATTTATGCATCCAAGGATTAGCTCTTTTGATTTAGGATTGCCCAGGAAGTTCATGTTCCGTTGAATATTTACCACAATCCCCAAACAGTTTTCAAAGTCACTGCTTCCCAGTAGTGTCCCCCATACTCTGAGTAGTCTCTACATTCTTTGTGCTTAGATTTATATACTTAGCCATATTAAAATGACTGTTTGCTTGGGTCCAGTTTACCCAGCAATCCAGCTTCCTCTGTATTAATGGCTTTTCTTCTTCATTATTTATTGTTTCTCCAATTTTGTGTCATCTGTAAACTTTAGTAGTGATTTGTTTTCTTCCATGTCATTGATTAAAAAAATGTTATAGGTCAGGCTAACAACCCATCCCTATAAGACCCCACTGAAAATGTGCCTTGTTGATAATTCTACCTTTACAATTCCATTTTGAGACCTCGCAATTAGCCAGCTTTAAATCCATTTAATGTGTACTATATTAATTTTGTATCTTTCTAGTTTTTTAATCATAGTCTTGTGCAATAATAATGCAAATATCTTACAAAAGTCTAAGTATATTACATCACACCATTAATTTTATCAACCAAATTTTTAATCTCATCCAAAGAAATCAAAGTTTCACTGGATCTATTTTCCATAAACCTATTTTGACTGGCATTAATTTATTAGTTCTTCTCCTTTAGTTCTTTATTAATTGAGTCCAATATCTGCTGCTCCACTATCTTGCCAGGGATCGATGTCAGACTGGCAGGCCTGTAATTACCCAGGTCATCCTGTTTACCCTTTTTAAATATTGGCACACCATTAGCTTTCTTCCAGGCTTCTGGAACTTCCCTGTTTTGAAACTGTATGTAAGGCAACTCAGGGTCAAAATGGAAGTCAAGTGCATGAAGTCTTATGGGGCATCTGAGCCTAGTCAGGGGAAGACCATCAAACCCCATGGATTTTCTGGATCCCCAGTTTGGGGAAGCTGAACCTTGAGAGCACATGGTAATAATGTGAACTTTCTGATGTGTTTGGAAGACCACCACCTTTTCCTCTCCTAAATCCCTGGATGTTGTTTCTGTATTGTTTTCTCTCCCTTACTTCATAGACCATGGTGGTGTGCAGTTTCCATCCCGTATGGACACAGGGACAGAAAGTCTAGCAGCTATAGTGGTAGCAGACATTGGCACTTGTGGCAGCATGTATTGATCCTTTTGATCATGACTTTACCAACATGTTAGTTAGTCTCCAGACAGTACTGATCAGCCCTGACTTGGTGGTGGCTTTCTCTTTGGGAATCCACTTTCCAGGGGATATATTCTATGGCAAGAGTCCAATGCTTGCAGAGATGAAGCCACAGAAGACATAGTACTCAGTAATAAGGCACATTATTATAGTCTGCAAAAAGGAACTTGCTCTAGATCATGAATGAACCCTGTGGAGTTAAGATTAATAACCTGTAACTTTCCAATGTAAAAATGTAACTAAGTTAATGGAAATGGAGAGAACAATGATTGTGGTATCTAACACCAGTTGATACGTTAAGTCAAGAGAAAGTGAAATGATCAGACTTCCAGCCTGTTGACATATTGCTTCAGGCTGCCTAGCTCTAAAAAAAGAGGGGAATGCTATGACTTTCAGGAGGGTTTTTCTGTGACCATTACTACCTAGGTCTGAAGTAGGGTTGTTAGCCAATAGTGATACAGATACTTCTGGGACTGACTTGCCTTTAAAAGGATGCTTCCTCATTGTTCAAGTACTTGTGGGTCCCTCTCAGCTCACCTCATAGGTGTTTGTCATGATCTCTCATCACTTGTCCTAAGTCAGGCTAATATGAGGGCAAGGACACTTGTGTTGTTGTATTGGTAATAAAGAAGGGGAAACCAGCAATATAAAAACAGAGGGAACCACTTATTGTAAATCACCTATACTTGCACACACAAAACATAAGAATGGCCATACTGGGTCAGACCAATGGTTCATCTAGCCCTGTCTCCTGACAGTATTTGGTGCCAGAGGCTTCACAGGGAATGAACAGAACATCCCCTGGCAAAGAGTTGCACAGGTTGACTGTGTGTTGGAAGAAAAAGTACTTCCTTATGTGTGTGTTAAACCTGCTGCTTATTAATTTCATTGGGTGACCCCTAGTTCTTGCGGTGACTTTACCCTGAGCACAATGAACAGCTCTTTCTCCTCAGTTCTCCAGCCTGGGCTGCCTTTTACGCTGCTTTGCTATGAGAGCTACCACTTGTGGTCTGCTTCGACAGCTGAAGCATGTAAGCTACTCCCAGATATATTGTATGAGTGCTATGCCACTCAAATTACTGGATCCTGTGCTTCACATAGGTCTAAAGCAAGAACTGTCTCTTCCCTTGTAGGTTCTAGGACTAGCTGCTACAAGAAACAGTCATTAATGGTGTCTAGAAATTTTCTCTCTGCATCCCATCCTGAGGTGACATGTTCTCATTCAATATGGGGATACTTGAAATCCCCCATTATTATTACATTTTCTGTTTTAGTAGTCTCTGTAATCTGAGTACTGACCACAATGGTGATTGTGAAATAGTATATTCCTACTGCTATACTCTTACTGTTCAAGCATGGCATTTTTATCCATAGAGATTCTATGGTACAGTTTAACTCATTTAAGGTTATTACAACATTTGATTCTATGCTTTCTTTCACAGAGTACCACTCCCTCAGCAGTACAACCTAATCTGTCATTCCTATATATTTTGTATCCCTGCTATTACCATGTCCCACTGATCATCTACTAAGGTTCTCTGCTACCTATTATATCAATATCCTCATTTAATATCAAGCACTGTAGTTCATCCTTCTTAGTATTTAGACTTCTAGTATTTGTTTACAAGCATTTATAAAAATGTGTCAATACTTAGTTGTTTGCCTTCATGTGATGTAATTGAATGGGATTCTTGTTTGACTGTTTCTCCAATTCCTACCTGTACTTCAGCAACTTCTATCATCCCCTCTTTACTAGAATACAGAGTATGTCTTGAATAAATCCTCCCTAAGGGATGTCTTTGTCCAAACTGTATGTTCTCCATATGTGTCAGCTTGGCCCCAGCACTCAGTGTAGACTCCTCTATGCTCTTTTTATACCCACCTGGTTCCATTTTGGTTGGTGCCATCCTTCCTGTATAGTATCCTGTTTTCCCAAAAGTTCCCCCCGTTCCTAATAAACCTAAATCCTCCTTCCAACACCATCATCTCAGCCACACATTTAGATCCTCTAGTTCTGCCTGTCTAACTGGCCCTGGGTGCAGAGCTGGAAATATTTCAGAGAGTGCTACCACAGAGCTCCTGGATTTTAATCTCTTACCTGAGCCTAAATTTGGCCTTCGGAATCACCCTCCTCTTTTTCCCTATGTCACTGGTACTTGCCTGTACTACAAACACTAGTGCCTCCTCAGCACTGAATCCAAGTCTATCTAGAGGTCTCAAGAGGTCTGCAACCATCATATTAGGCAGGCAATTCACCATGCAATTATCCCAGTCATCACAAACCCAACTACCTATATTTTTAATGATTGAATCCCCCATTCCTATTGTCTGTCTCTTCCTAATAACTGGGATGAGAGAGAATACCATGACAT